TATTTTGAAATAATTTGGAAATTTTTAACTTTTTTTCAAAGCAATCGCACTGCTTTAGCTTCATAGAGACGAAATATCGAGGCAGTTTTGCCGACAAACGATGTTATGGAACCCATAGAAATGTAAACACGTATTATTAAATGTGATACGTATTGTAGATAATACGTATATTTAAAATCTCCATAAAATATCTGATAATTTGATGTGCATATGTCTAATGATCATTTTTGACCACTAAATGGATTTTCTTTTACTTTTTTTACTAGATCTCCGAAGCCGCCTGGTCTGCCTTCCCAAAACTTTAATCAGTTCTTCATCTTGTCAATACAAGTAAAATCTTTTTTGAATTATTAAAATCGGACGCTCCCTTCTCTTAAAAACTGTCACCATTTTTGGCACTTTTTGCGCCGTATTTTCGAAACGGCTAGACCTGCTTTTGCCAAAACTAATCAGCACCTTATCAATAGGAATAGAATGTTTTTTGAATAATTGAAATCGGGTGAACCGTGTTCCCAAAATCGTCGACGACAATTTGGATCCACACGCACACACGCACTTTCTAAAGTATGCCAAAATGTTCAGAAACCTTTGAAAAGTAAAGATATATAACAATTTTAATTTTCGTTTTTTTTCGATTACTATAACTTACCCTACGGGAAGTTAATTAAGAATACATTCAATTATATATCGTATACTTAAAAATTATATCAAGGTATTGTAAACTAAACAACGGGGCTCACAATCCTCACAAAAAACTAACAACGAAAGAAAATACTTTTGTAATGGATTATCAAAAATTTCCGTTTATCTTCCGATAGCGTAGTCGCAGGAATCAAGTTGATAGTTGGTTATACATTTTTTCCTCTACTTTCAAATATTGTTCCTAAAAAAATCTTAACTTTATTTGTTTTTGAGTTATCGGTGGTGGATTTTATTACCCGCGGACTTCTAAGCCCCGCTCTACCCTATATATATAAATACCAACTCGTATATAGGTACATCAGGTCATCAAATGCACTATAGCTTATATATACGCTTAAAACAAAATAAATCCGTTTACTAAATTATCAATTTATCGTCGAGACCTTATTTTCAATTTTTTGCAAACATAAACGGAGGCAATTTCAAGAATTCTATTAGTATCGATATATTATCATATATCTCTCCAATTTACATAGATTTTCGATTATTATGCAAAGTATGAATATAAAAATTCAGAATACAAATTGTTTACGTTACGTAAGTATGTATAATATTTAAACATATTGATTTAATTTAAAATAGTTTACGAAAGTTATTAGCGAAAGTCAATTGAAAATCATTCTCTTGAACATGCATGGAATGAATTTACATCGAAAATTTTAATTAAAAATAAACTTTCTTCCAAAAAAATTCGTATTCTATATGGAATCTCACTTTCAACCATAAAATTCACTTTTGGAATCATTCCAACTTGAATTAATTACAAGAAATATTTCGCGTAATGAATACCTTTTCAGATGTCAGTGTCAGAAGTAAAATGAAAAAACTGTTATAAATTTTAACTCTTGAAATTTGGAACTTGTACCTTTCATCGCAAAAACAAATAATATTTTATAGTCACCAAATATTGCAGTTTCCAACAAGTGTTTTTCTAAAATTAGTTTTTAGTCTATAATCTTCCTCCAAATTTAATAAAGTCATAAACTGAATATCAATTTTAGGAAAAATAAAACTGCTCAACTTGTGTATATTATATAATATATCACAATGTGACGATTGAAATCTCGAACATAAAACATTATTCAAGTTTTATGTCACATCCGAAAAGTTTCTCCAGATAGTGCTATTAAATTGAAATATTTAAATGCCTTGTGTATAATCATATAACTGCCAAACATTCTAACGCAATAAAATTATAATGTATTACATTCATGATGCAATTTGTTTGCTGAGAGCTGTATGAATTTTAAATTGCATCTGAGAAAATATTTTTTCTCATTAGTGTTGCAAAATTCAGAGCGAATAAATTCTTGATTAAAAACGAAATATATTGAAGTATGACTTAATTTTTTAACACTAAATGTTTCTCATCCAAGATAGTGTTTCTTCTAAATGATCTTGATGTTAGGCATGAAGAGTTTAATAAAGTTTAGAATCTGAAAATAGTAGTCAGGCCCTAGTGGTAAAAAACAATAACTTGTCATAGTCCGAATGTTATCCAATTGGTGTTTAATATTCAAAAAACGAGGTATTAATATAATACAAAAAAGGCAAATTTCATTCGGCTGAATAGCTGACCCAACAGCTAGAGATATATTTAATGATTACAACTGACGGTAAAAATATTATTACTTTTGATTTATTTTTTTGAACTTTAAATTATTAACTTCCCGTAGGGTAAGTTATAGTAATCGCAAAAAAATCGAAAGTGACAATTTTTATATATTTTTACGTTTCAAGGGTTTCTGAACCTTTTGGCATACCTTAGGAAAAATAGATGTATGTAAGTGTGTTTTTTTTTTGTATAGCGAAGGAAATGCCTTTATGTATCCCAGACTGAATGTGTGTATGTGTGTGTGTGCGGATACAAATTTTGGTTGACTATTTCAAGAACACGGTTCAACCGATTTCGATTATTCCAAAAACATTCGATTGCTGTTGATAAGGAGACGTGCTGATTAGTTTTTGGCATAAGCAGGTCTAGCCGTTTCGAAGATACGGGGCAAAAAGTGCCACAAACGGTAAATCAATTTTTGTCAAAAATTTATAGTTTTTTAAAAAATCTATTTTTTTCAAAGTAGTTTTTTTTTCAAAACTGTTAATCTTTAAAAAAAAATTAGTACGTAAAGTTCCAGCAATTTGCCTTAAGGCATGATGCCATGGACCCCACTAGTGTTAATTAAATATGCTAGTAAATAAATTGAGTATTCCAGGGCTTTGAATCAGAGCTTTTTGGATTTCTATGTAATTTTGTCATAATATTTTTAAATGTTCGTAATATAGGAACCAATATCATGTATAAATATTACTGATGAAATATGACTACATAACGTAAGCGATTTGTATAAAATATCGGCGTTTGACCTGGCCTTAATTTTTGTGATATACAATAATAAAGTATTATTGCAATAAAATGATGTTTAATATTTTTTTTTTTTTATTTATTTTTATTGGCCTCGCTTACTCGAGCATTTAGCCACCTACAACATATTTTATTTTCATTACAATATTTCAATTTCAATACAATCTTCATGTTCATACTATTTTTCTTATATAAATCCTATTCTTCTTCCTATTTATTCTATTCTATTCTATGTACTCATCAACGTAAAACTTCATTCTTCTTTTTCTCCTTTATTATCTATCATTATATCTTCTATCTTCTTACGTCTTCATTACTTCTATTCTTACTTCCATTACTTCTTTCATTACTTCTATTCAATTTAATTTTTATTCTCAAACCTTTTTATATACGATTGAACTATTTCTAATACTATTTCAAACTACTTTTAACGTTATTTCAAACTACTTTTAACTTTATTTCAAACTATTTTTAATAGTATTTCTATATTATGCCGGGGATTCGAACTTCGAACCTCTGGCGTGTGAATCGGAAACTCTGTACATGAGCTAATTTCGCCACGATGTTTAATATTATATCCTGTTTTAGGTTCAAATTATTCATTTAATTAACTGAAATAATTATTGATAATAACATCAACGTTATTAATTATTATATTATTAATTATTATTATTAGTATTTCAAAATTTTCAATTCTTGACTTCTCAATACAAAAATGTATTTATGAAAGTACCTAAAATTTTAATAAGAATAGAAAAAATCATCAGAGCAAAAAAGTCTAAAGGCCATTAATAAAATATATATCAGTCGTATTTGTATAAGAAGTAAAAAGATTTATGATCTGTGATGAATAAGAAACTTTCACGTCGTTGTAATTTACCTACGCATATTCGTGTACGCACAAATAAGAATAAATGTATATATATATATATATATATATATATATATATTTATATATATTAATATATATATACAAGCGTACCCTCTCACTTTTCGCAGGCTTTTAATAAAATCTACTGAATATTTTTGATTTAATCTATTTTTATTTTGATGTCTTTATGAATACTTTAGTTTGTTACATAAAAACAATGATATTTCTATAATTTTTTTTTATTATTATATTTTTAACAGCAATCAGAACCTTACGTCCTATGAGCTGTTGGGCTGAAACATCTCCTTACTTCGTATTTTTAGATGGTAACCCAATGGTTGGTTAATTCTTCCATATTTGATGATTATTGTTATTAGAATTAATCTAATAGGGCTGACTTTTTATTGGTGCAGCAATGCCAGACAAGGGCTATTTTCACTTGGAAACATATTGCTATCTATATTTCCAAGTGAAAATCGTTGTCACTGCTGCCTGACAACAGGCTGCTCGAAGTGGGTATAGAACCCGGGACCTCTGAAACAAGTCCCGTCGCTCTTATCCTCTTACCTACGGGCGAGCCCAAATTTCTATAAATCAATATTAAATTTTTGAATATATTTTATTTGTGAAAATTGACAAACGTTATTTTTCCACATTTGTAGCATGTGATATTCTATAACTCTGATCAATATATAAACATAACATAACTTCAAGATGATCTTCAATCAAATACATTTAATTTTATAAACTATAGGGTGCGGTGGACAGGCGTGGGCCACAGGTTGATAGGCCACCAAAATAACTCTAAGACTGGTGACATGCATGTCGAACCCCGCACAAATTTATCATATTTTGATACTTGCTCAATTTTAAAAAGCATTTGGCGGTTATAAAACAACCTTCGCACTGTACAGAGTAACACGCCGAATAAATTTCGCCGAAGAAGTTTTTTTCCTCGTATGCTATTGTATCATCGAATTTACACGTGCTCTGTTTATGTTATTTTTCTCAAACGACCATTAATATCTAGTAATATTATAACTAATGATATATCATTTTTTACAGATTTACTGCTCTGATAGCATCGCAATGTTTAGCAGAAGTCGAAATAATAACAAAGCCCCGTCCAGGGGAAGAATACGTAAGTCTTCAGAGTGCCACAGTAGGAGGAACACCCGTAAGAACACCACATAACGCGGGACAAGCACGTAAACAAGAGGATTTCGAGACAGCCCATAAGATTCCTCATCACGAAGCAACTGCTCGAGATGATGAAGACGAAGACGACGTTATCGAAGAGAAAAAAGCTGACAAAATTGGAAAGAAATTATATTCAAAGGCCGATTCTAATAACAAGAGCAATCCACAAAGTTCAGGTAAATAAATCATCTTAGGCACGACGCGTGAAATGATTTAAAAAGAAATGTGATATTTCAAATAAAAATTAAATCATATTATGAAATATGCTGATGGTTATGAACACAACTTGTTTATTGTTGATACTTTCTCTTATTTAAATGAAATGAAACGTATAAGTCTCAAGTCTAGAATCTCTGGAATTTATGAATCTGAAATTATAATATATATATATATATATATATATATATATATATATACGAGGTCTGTTCAAAAAGTTTTCGTAATTTTCGTTTTTTCAAAAAAATATTTATTTATTCGTCTACATTAATGTGGTCCCCTTCAAAGTAGTCCCCCCCAGATATAATACACTTATGCCAGCGTTTTTTCCAATTTTCGAAGCACCCTTGATATTCACTTTTTGATATGTCCTTGAGCACTCTCGGCGATTTTCTTCAATCGAGGAAAACCGCCGTCCTTTCATGGGTCTCTTCAACTTTGGGAATAGGAAAAAGTCACACGGAGCCATATCTGGTGAATTTTTGCACTTTGCAACACTTTATTTCATTTTTTACGCAAAATTTAATACAAATTCTTTGACTTTTTCAATTCTTCCATTGTAAAAATCGCCGAGCTCAGAAAAACACGTCGAACCTTAGCGACTACCACAGACAAAGTAAACAGTGAATATAGCTGAAAATTTCATCATACTTTAGGGGCATGTATACCAACACAATAAAAAAAAATTTTGACAATCAGACACTCCAGACCCGCGAAATTTAATTATTAGTAATTCCGGGTACTTTTTGAACAGACCATGTATATATATATATATATATATATATATATATATATATATGTATATATACAGGGTGGTTGATATGTAATGCAACAAAGTAAAAAGCTATAATTTTGTCATTTTCATTTTAAATTTCATTGTTCAAAAGCAAAAATTTCAGAAATAACATCACAATTTTAGAATCAGTTTAGATTTGTTCTAATTGGCCACCTTTGGCACGAATTATGGCCTTCAAAAGGCAGAAAAAAACATAACACGCTGCACGAAATTGGCTCCGGGGTATTTTGGCCTATTGCCGGCGAGGCGCTTTCTTGGGGTGATCGACACTTTGGTATTTTTTAGTGCAAACCTTACTCTCCAAAATGTCGAAGGCACAAAAATCCAACGAATTTAGATCCAGAGATTTTGGTGGCTATTGTGCGATGGAAATGAAGCGAGGAATCTCTTTTTTAAGCCATTTTTGGTTGACGCGTGCTGAGTTTGATGGTGCTGAGTTCTGTTGGAATGTCCATGGTCTGCGGCCGAAATTTTTGTCTACCCAGGGCTTCAATACTGCTTTTAAGACACTTTCCCGATAATTTCGGCAATTATTTTGATCCCACGGTCGATGAATACGAGCGGAATGTCACTATCGGCTGTTACGGTGGTTCACACCATTACCGTCGGCGGCGCTTGAGTTCTGGTGGCCAATCGTAGGTGTAAATTTTTAGCTGACCTCTTTGGCAAGTAAACCCTATTATTTTGTTTGTTCACAAACCGTTGATTTGGAATGACTTCCCATCTGAGAAAACCAAATTCGGTGACTAGCCACTTTCGTGCAAGCGAAGCAACCACTTGGCTCTTTCCCATCTAACTTTTTGCTGTGCATCGATGAGCTCTTGAACTTTTTGGAACAGCAATGGCCATAGTCGAAGCTCATTTTTCAATATGTGTTGTATCCGTTTTTGCGATATGTTCAGCTCACGAGCCATTTATTTTACAACCGCAACACGAATTTCGATCAATTCTTGTCTTCACTTTTCGAATCTTTTCTGGTGTTGTTAGTGTTTTTTTTCATCCACTTTTTGGAATTTTGGTGCAATACTGGAAGTATCATAGTTGACAGATATGGTACGAGAAATAAAATATTTGTTCGCATTTAAATGCTGGACGGCTCTAACGATAGCCACTTGTGGTTTGCTAGCCCAATATAAAGCAATTACAATATCACGTTTGACTTCCATCGCAAATTTTTTTTTCTAAATGCAGTAGATCAAAATGCTTTTTTACGCTTGTAAACAACTAAATGAACAATCACTAGAATAAATCTGTCATCTGTCTGATGACATGATGACGGTTTAAAAATGATAGCGGTCTGAATTTGGTTGCAATACATATCAGCCACCCTGTATGTATATATATACACATATATGTATATATATATATATATATATATATATATATATATTAGGCACATATGATTTTCGGATTCTAGGGACCAAAATAAGATACTTTGCTGAAGAAAGTATACCTCTAAAATGAATTCTGATGTCCCGTGCATTGACCCAAAAATAAGGATTAAATTGTTGAAAAACCGCTCAGGGGAGCTCCCAGGGGGTGAACCACGGGCATGGGTGAATCGGCCTTCCAAAGTTAGTGGGGTCGGTAATACATTTGAACGCGATTGGAGCACTCTAAATGGGTCAAAATGGAATTTTTCAAATTTAAACCCTTATCTTTGGGTCAATGCACGAGGCATGATGCATTATAGTGGTGCAAAACAACTTTCAAGAAGGTGTTGATTGTCCCATTACAACAACATCTGCAAGCTCTCTAATAGTCAATCCACGATCTGGCAGCACTAATTCTTTGATGTTGAAGTGTATCTTATTCGTAGACGTTCTTGGTTGTTTTTGATCGACTTCAACGCGCTCTCGGTCTTCTTCGAACTATTTTTGCCAATCAAAAAGACTTGCTCTTGACATTGACTTTTTACCAAAGGCCTTCTGCAACAAATTCTGAACGTTACGGCTGCTGATATTTCATTTTGCGCACAATATTTGATGCTACACTTTGTTGAATAAATTCTGAATTATTTAATAAGTATATAGTTAAAATTATATAATTATCAATAAAATATTGTGAATCGAATGGAAAAACAACTACTGAGTTGTTTTTTCCAACATGCCCTTGTAGTATACAATGTCCCTTTTCGGCCGACTATTGTAAATTCATCAAATTTATTGAATGTCCTTTACTGAAAAAAATCTGACATAAAAATCGAAAATACAACTATTCTTTCTTACAAACAGAAGCGTAACTACCACATTAATTAATCAATTGACGTAAAATCTGTTAAGATGTCAATACAATTGATGAACCTGAAAAGTTCAAGTTAAAAAAATTATTCATATTTGTAGGCAGTATTATAGATATATATTATTTTAAAAATCATCATTTAGCAATTACATCAATTCAATGTTGTAGTGAACATAATTATTTAATTACTTAATTAAGAAATAAAGATAACGCAAAAGAACGATTTTAATATCATGAAATAATATTTCAATAATAATTTGTGTAGCATATATTTATGACACAGTAAAAACAATTTTTTATATGAATATACTCGGATTATATTCTAATATTGTCAAGAGCAATTTTTCTAATCTTTGTCAGAACAAAAACATGTGCATATCAACAAATTGTATCTGTCATACGGCTCAAATATAGCAAAAATGGCTAACAACAAAAGTTTGTAAAGCAAAATGTTTTAATTTTCTGCACATTTGATGCACAGCATTGTAATTGATTAACATGAATAATAAAGCTAATTTATATTCAGTTTTTTTAAAAAACCTTTTTTTTTTAATTGTTTGAGAATTTGAAAATTTTTTAAAATATTATTTTTTTTTGAAAATTTCCAAATATTCTCAGATTTTTGTAAGAAATCGATTTTTTTTAAATTTTGATATTATTTGATTTTTTTTTTAATTTAGATTTTTTTTAAATGATAAAAAAAATTCGAAAATTTGAATTATTTGAACTTTTGAATTTTTTTTTAATTTTTTTAAAATACAAAATTTTTTGTAAGATTATTTATTTCACACCGTCTACACAAACAAAAAGTTTTAACTTAATCTAATCGGATGATCCGTTCTCTCAAAAACTGCATGACCACTTTTACACCCTTTGCGCTCCACTTCGGCTCCATACATTTGAAACATGCCTTTCGCAAAAACGTCTCGCAATCGAGTGCAAACCGAATGTTTTTTTTAACCATTCAAATCATCAGCTATTCCATACTGTCGAAAATATCGAGGATATTTGTTTGAACAATAAAAATGAACTTCAAAATTATCTAGTGGTACACGGCATCGTGCATTAAGGCAAATTGCTGGAACTTCTGGTACGATTAATTAAAATTTTTAAAAAACTTTTAACATTTTTTTAAAACTGACAAAAATTAGATTTTCGAAATAATTGAGCTTTTTTATATTTCATCACTTTTTATACACTGAACTTTTCTGAAAATTTTGAAGTTTTTTCAAAGCAATCGTGCTGCAAGGCTGTTTTAAAAAAGAAATATCGAAGCGCGTAAGCATCGCAGTCTAACGGATAATTTTTGGAACGGAATCCATAGAAATGTAAACAAAATTCATACTTATATTTAAAATCTCTGTACTAGTGGTGTATGGCATTGTGCCTTAAGTCAAATTGCTGGAACGTCCTGTACCGTAACGAAATGATCAAGGAATATTAAATGTTTTCAAATAGATTATTATAAATGTATTATTATAAACTGTAATATTTTCTAATATTTATAAGAATTATATAAACTAAATTACAAAGTTAAAATTATTTATTTTTTAAAGTATGTAAGTGAGCTTCAGAATTTTATCCAGAATTAGAATTAAAATCTGAATTATTTTTCACGTACAAAAATTTTTTTCTGAAAAAAATAGGAATAAAAATATTTTTGCAATTATTTTGCCAATACAAGTAGCATGTTTTTTTAGATCATTTAGGTCGAATACTCTGTTCTCTCAAAAACTAGGGTTCTATTTTCTGCACTCTTTGTCCCGTATCTCTGTAAGGGCTGGACCTCGCTTTGCCAAAACCTAATCAGCAAACCTCGCTATCAATACGAATCGACTGCTTTTTGAATTTTCCAAATCAGTTCATCCATACGCTCAAAATCGTCGATGAAAAATTGTCTCCACACATACACACACACACATTTATTCTGAGGTATGCCAAAATGTTCAGAAATCTCTGAAACATAAAGATATGCAAAAAATTTAATTTTCGATTTTCGAAAATTTCAATTTTCGCCTATTACTATAACTTACCTTACGGGAAGTTAATTAAACTTAATAGGAATAACCAAAGCGTTATGTAAGTAATGACTCTAGTAGGTATATGAATTATTAAGAGACCTAAAACGTGAGAAGAATTATCATAACCAACATCATCACTGCAATGATATTATTAACGAATAGTGGTTTCAATTTAGTTTTTATATATGCCAACTCATTCATAATTCAAACGAATACAAATAAATTAATAGTTAACAGCAATTAACCACAAAGACTACCGCATAATTAAGTTTTTTAGTAGTTTTTTGAAGCTTGTACTTTCTATTATAACATTAATCTGACACTTTGTACAAGCTTTTTTAGCCGATTTTGTGAGTTATATACAAAATATTATACAATTCACGAATTATGAGCCGATTCTGCCGCAAAATAAACCAATGCTCTGGCAAGGCTATGTTACGTAGCGCTACGCTCGTACGTTCATATAAAATGGTACTAAAAGCTGTCCGACGCTATGTGGTTGCTGTGCTATGTGGTTATCATAACTGGATCTTTATGGTGTCGTACCATATCATAACCAGTGATGTTGCATTTCACGTGTAAAACGTCTGAACGCACAGCAAATACATAAGATTTTGACAGTTTTTAGTGCAATTTTATATGAGCGTACGAGAGTAGACTTGCTGTAACATTGGTCAATTTTACGGCAGAATCGCCCCTTGAGCGTTATTCACAAATTTAATATGTATGCCTTTTCTCAGTTCAAGATTCCCAAGAAACTGCATGCAAAACATAACATTGACTAGAGCATTAATACGAAATAAAACAGATTTATTAACTAACTAAAAATATTTATTACTTACGAGCTGTACATGTTCACGCTTCGCCGAGTTTTAGTTTAAATTAAACAGTTGAACAAAAATGTATATTTGTTACCAAAATGTACATCTAGTCTACCAGTTTTCTTATATTCTAGTCTACCTGTCTACCTCTATTTATTCTCAGTTTACCTGTCAACCTGTTTGTGTCCAGTCCAATTTACCTGTCCACCATTTTACCTGTCCACCAATTTACCTGCCCACCAATTTATCTGTCCACCAATTTACCTGTCCACCAATTAACCTATGCACTAATTTACCTGTTCACCAGTATACCCATCCACCAGTATACATGTCAACCTATTTATCAGTCTATATATTTAGCTATCCAATAATTTACACGTTCAACAATTTACCTATTCAACAATTCACATGTTCAACAATTTACCAATTGTCCTGTCTACCGATTTATATATCCTCCAATTTACCTGACCTCCAGTTTACCTATCTACCAATTTACCTGTCTACGTATATATCTATCTATCTACCTGTTTATCTGTCTACGTATCTATCTATCTACCTGTCCACCAATTTTCCTGTCCACCAATGTACCTGCCAACCTGTCTATCTGCCTACCAATTTAGCGGCCCAGCAATGTACCTGTTCACTGATTTTACCTGTCTACCAAATCATCTGTTTATCAATTTACGTAAATCTATCTGAATACCAATTTACCTATCAACCTGTTTTTCAACCATTTTACCTGTTTACCAATTTACCTGGCATTTCGTTGTATATGTCTACCAATTATTTATCTGTTTAGATGCTTACCTGTCTGCCAGTTTACCTGTCCACCAATATATACCTGCCACCATGTCAACCTATCTATTAGTTTACCTAACCAATTTACCTGTTCAACAATTTATTTATTTATTTATGTTCAAGACAGTATAACTTAAAGTCAAAAAGACCTATTCTATACACCTATTCTATACACAAAGTTTGACTATATCTTATCTGCACTTATTTGTATCGACTAGTAGAGGATATATAAATAAATTTATGTCCTTTATCAATGCATTTAAATATATTTCATTAAATTAGGCCCAGCATACCTTACGACTACTGCTTCTTCAGTAGGCGACAATGTCGGAAGTAAAATAAACTACGGACTCACCGCACTGGTAAAGGAAGAAGCTGATACATTTAGTCTCGAGACATCACCAAGCGAACAGAAACATCATTCTCGAATTCAAATAAAAAAGGGACCTAACGGTCAAGACTATGAGTACGAGTACGTTTATTACTACTACGACGAAGACGAGCCGACAAAAACTGACCCTGTAGATGATTCGGGTAATAATAATTACAAATATCTCACAAATTTCAAACTGCACATAAATAAATCTTTGAAATTTGTTTTCAAGCACCTTAAATGATTAGAATAATTACAAGCGGCTTTAGTTACTTTGACCTATAATACAACATAGACAAAATAAATTATAAACATGATAACTTCGAAATATGTCATCGTAAAAAAAACTACAGCAGCATTACTCGTTTTTCATCTCATTCATTTTTTCATTCGGAAATATAATAATATTTCATAAACATAAATAATGCAAAAGTGTTAAATTACTTCATCTTACTTAAATCACTATATTATAATCATCAAAGTAAAGTTTGAAACTAATTAAAAATGCATTAGAGTCTAGAAGAAAATATTCAGTAAATGTTAATAAATATATTTATCAAACATTATATAATTTAGCATGGAATAATTAATTTTGATAGTCAATAAGTCGGAGAATAATAATGTATATTTAGAATCCTAAACTTTTTTATATTCTCCCAGATAAGAAGCCTGTAAATTCCGAAACTGAAAACAATACCCTGCAGCAAGAAGCTAGTGCCAGCAAAACAAGAAACCGATACAGCAGTATAGAAAGAAACGCTCCTGCTTCAAATGTTCAAGAACAGAATGAAGTCATACCAGATGGTCGATCTGGTGGTAGATCGAGAAGCAGGCAATCGGCTGAAGAGGAGGTAAAACATTCATTCATAATATATAATTCTGGTCAAGTTTCTGTGCGTTTGTGATATAAATCCAATGTGAATTTAAATAGTAGTAGTATTATAAATTTTCAACTAAAATTGCGAACAATATTAATATTATAAATTCTCTTAAAAGTGCACTTGCTAAGTTAGATAGAATAAGGTATAAATTTCAGTTGCAAACCACTATCAAAGAAAGCGATTTTATGAAAATTTATCAACAAACTTCAAAGACATGGTATAAAGGATGAATGCTACCGGTTATCATCAATTTGTTATATGCATATTAATAAACTTTGCATGGCGTATTAATATTGAGCATTTTTATAATAACATTTAACGTTAGTAGTTGTAAAAAATATTGCATATCCTTCTACCCTTCTTCCTTATCTATGCTTCTACCATACTTTTCTGAAAAAATGCGGGTGTTGTCAACGTATCAAAATCCCCTTTTTCTTCCTGGTGCGGCAGTCGACACACTGTCGACAGTGCCATATTTATTTTAAATTTATACCCACATTATCGGCATAGTGGGATTATATATAGTTGGTGATCCCTACTTGTAGAAGTAGGGCCCAAAAGCCAGCGCCACTGAATCACTGTTTTATTGTTGTGTTTTTTAAATATTTTACTTAAAATGTAGCTTGTTATTAATACTTTACTGCATTATAATACATTATTATATGCGTTTCTGCAATAAATTGAAACTATATGTTCCTAGTTTGTTTTACTACTCGCCTAAATAAAATAATAACATATTGAACCTTAGGTTTAAGCAGGTCCTTGTTCACATTTGCACAATTTGAGTAAAACGTGCAGAGCATATGGAATACTAACGAAAGCGATTGATCGTAATTACTATAATCGAATTCGAAACTTAGTAGCAATCAATTAGCAGGAAGCAAATACATAATATTTTCTTGCAAGTCTAAATGACAATTGTTACTTTCAACTTCAAAAATTGTTACAACCTTTTACACCATTATAAAAAATAAAAATAGCAGTCGACTAGTGTCGAATTGTCTAAATGACAACCTACCTCACGAAAGGATCACCCATTCCGACGCGGCTGTCGACAGCGCCGTTTTCTTTTCAGAAAAAACTTAAAAATCGGCAAAATATAAAATAGAAAAAAATAAAAAATTAATAAAACTTTTCAGCATAGGAAAACAAAATAGGTCTTAAAACCTCCGCGGACAACGTGTTAAATAAATTAATTCAACTTGCATACCTTTCAGATAAGTGAAGAACGACTGCCAGTCAGTACCAGATTTCCTCCACGGTCTCGACAAGTGACTACAACCACTTCAGCTCCAGCAGATACAAGTTCTCCTTCATCCGCAAGCACAGAAGAACGAGGCAGAAGTCCAGTACGCAGGCCAAGTCTGGAACTTGTTGACAGTGCGAGCTTCAAAACTCATGCTGGTGATGCTTCAGTATCTCAGTACAGAGATGCTGACAATCAACATAGCCGTGAAAATGCTGGAGTTGAAAAAGAAACTGCAGAAAATGATAAATTAAGTGCTTCTGCAACATCCGAAACTAACGTCGATCAAACAACTGAAGGAATCTTAGATGGAACAACGGATCCATCGTCCATGGATAAGGTAATTGACATAGATACTAGAACTGTCAAGAACCGTCATTTTCAAGAACCGGTTCCAAAGTCCAAAAAGGACTCGGTTCCGGAAGAACCGTGAACGGTTCCAACCCGAAAAAGTCCGGAGCGATCTCGGAAAATTCCAGATTGCTCCGGAAAAAGTCCGGCTACTTTTTTCTTATTAACTTCCCGTAGGGTAAGTTATTGTAATGGGCCGAAAATCGAAATTGAAATTTTTTACATTTCTTGACGTTTTGAAGGTTTCTGAACATTTTGGCATACCTCAGAAAAAATGGATGTGTGTGTGTGTTGTTCTATGTATGGATACAAATTTCCAGTCACGTTTTCGGGCGCACGGATCAACCGATTTGAATGGTTCAAAAAACATTCGATTCCTATTGATAGGGAAAAGAGCTGATTAGTTTTTGGCAAAGGCAGGTCCAGCCGTTACGAAGATAGGGAGCAAAGAGTGCAGAAAATAGAAATCGAGTTTTTGAAAGAACGGAGTATCCGATTTGAATGATCTAAAAAACATTCAATTAGTAATGATTGGGAGAAGTGTTTATTAGTTTTTGGCGAAGGCAAGCCCATCCATTTCGAAGATACGGAGCTAAATGTGTAAAAAATGACAGTTTTTGAGAGAACTAAGCGTCCGATTTAAATGATTCAAAGAACATTCTGCTTGTCTTAACAAAATAATTGATTTTGGAGAAAAAACATTTTGTTTCAATTTTTTTTTTTCAAAAAAAAATTTTTTTTGTATATCGAAAAAAATGCAGATTTTTCTTTTAATTCTGACTATAGTTCTAATATACTTTGAACAAATAATTTTAACTTTGCAATTCAGTTTATATAATTCTTATAAATATTAGACAATGCTACAATATTATATATATATAGTAATAATCTATTTGAAAACATTCAGTATCCCTCGAACATTTCGTTACGGTACGGGAAGTACCAGCAATTTGCCTTAAGGCACGATGCCATACTAGTTTTTACATTCAGTCACAAACATCCGTTTCAAGCTACGTGTCTCGCTTTTTGTTCTTGAAATTTTTTTTGTAACCCTTTGAATTTTTTAATATAATTTTAATTAATACTTTTTTGTGCATTACTATTTAGTTATGCCATATATTTGTTTGCCATGAAAGCAATTCTCAAATTGGAAATTGTACATTCGAATAATATTTAGTCTGCTTTCATTATTAGGTTATATGTAATTTCCTTAAACTTTTACATAAATAATTATAAACTTTTTCATAAACCAATAAATTTGAAGCGTATTTTTAGTTTCTTTAGTTTTTAGTTTCTCAATTAAAGTTTTCGATATCCATAGCAAGAGGCGGTTTCTTTTGATCAGGGGAATTTACAAAACTGGCTGCATATAGCATTAAAAAAATAACATATTATTAAAAGTATTACAACAAAACGCCTTAGTTTAATTGAAATAAATAGTTTATTCATAAAAAGTAATTTAATTTCTAAATTGTTAACTTCATATAAATATGAATATAATTTCATACTTTGCTAACCTTATTTTTATACCTAAGCTCTTCCCATTATGTAATTCGACTCTTGCAGTCAGAGAGCAAGTGGACCTTATGATCATAATATTAGTAAATGTACTAATACATATATATCTAAAGTTTTGAAAGCAGAAGCGTACTTTTAGAGCCTGGCGATTGTACATCGACTCATAAATCGTAAAACAACAAATTTCAAAAATTCCTTCGAGTTTGCTAATTAATTTTGAAATAATGCATATTTTAAAATAGTGTTTCATAAATAAATAACAAATATATAAAATAATATTTATTAGAAACATAAACTAATATATGTTACATAAACTGATTTTATTTTTTTTTAAAATTGACAATTTAAAAGTAGAATAGAAGTGTTTGTATTAACTTCTATATCATTTGAAATGTTGTTGAAATGGATAAATATTTAGTTTCAGAAATAATAATTTATACGGTATAGCAAAATGCGGCTCTTGTAGTCGGGTGTAGTCTATTGAAAATAGTTGGAGGTCTTTCTGCAAACAAGTGTCAAAGTATGATTTGGAGAAGTCATTAAAATCAATATTAATGGGCTAAAGACTGATGGCTCGCAATGAAAAGATTCAGGCTAATACATATATAACAATGTTTAATTTTTTATATTGTGTCGCAACACGTCTCCTTTCCCTATCTATAAACAAAAAAATTCTTCGCATGTGGTCTGTTTATCTGAGGAGTATCAACAGACAGTAGCAATGACAGGCGCTCATTATGCGGCTGCGCATTTATTTGTGTGTAAAAACGCTGTGAAGTTAGGTGTGTAAATATTCAAGTCTGTCGAACATTTTGAAATTTTATGAATCATGGGTATAGACACTATAGATAGCTTGCAACGTGCTTTCTTATCACTTGAGTCGTAGCCGAGTGGTAAGGTGATAGAATTCTAATTTTTGCGTCTGTTGTTGGAGGTTCGATTCCCGCTCATATTATTATTATTTTTTTATTATTTTAATTTCATATTTATAATTGCATGAGTAAATAATATTAAAATTAATTGAAGTGTTTAATTAAAATTATATTTATTGCTACATATCCGATAATAAAGTACCATGTAACGTCTGTATAAAATTGATGTGATGCTTATAATTATAATTAACTTTGTATATAATTATAATTAAATATGTTAACATATTTTATATTAAAATCAGCTATGATAAGGAAGAAAAATATAAGTTATATGCATATAAAAATTAATTATTGGTTAATTAACAATTAAGGGATGATACTTATCGCAAAATAAGAGAACTACAAAAAAAAAAAAACAAATTATTCAAGTTATGTCCTTATATTAGCAGTGATAGAAAATAAATTCTAAATATCATTACTAATGTTTTTATGGAAATAGATTTTCTTTTGTGAACAAACACTGTCCAAAATAACTCGAAAGTTTTATTATATAAATAAAATCAAACAATTCATAATTAGAACTAAAGAATATTAGATTATTATATATAATTGTATATATATATATATATATATATATATATATATATATCAACACATTTCAATAATGAAAATAATGAATATTTTAACCGCTGCATAATTTTTACATCTTTTTACTGTTTCAATTTATGTTTATCTTTGTTGGTACACCTACGTTCTTAAAAATTTTAATGGCTGCCGCATAATGAGCGAGTTCACAAATGTCATCGCTACTGTCTGTAGTCACGTGTGTTTATCTGTGTTGCGAATGCTTTATAAAGGGACAGAATATGCGATGAACAGTGGCAGTTCATCCCTTATTCTGTCCCTTTCAAGCATTCGCAAAAGTTCCGATCTCTCTTTCTGCCCAAATAAAAAACTGTTGTGTACAATTGTACATAAGTTAAGTGTACATATTCGGTAACGATTTATTAAACAAAATTAATAAATTTATAAATTCTTAAAGCTGAATATTGAACTGAAATGTACTTAAATTATAATTCATTATTATTATTGGTAAAAAATCGTTGCAGATTTAATTAAAATCGTAAATAAAAAATATTTTAACGGTTGATTACGAAAAAAATACCCTTTCGTTATACTAATCAGTACATCCCCAAATTTTTCGAATAGTAATATTCAAAATCGATTTAAATTTTTTTAAGAAAAGGTTTTGAATGAACAACAGCTCAGTTTGTGAGAAATTGAAAGGTAAACTCGTAGTGCTTGGCATCGTGCCTTGAAGCAAATTGCTGGAACTTCCCGTATCTAAAATCCTTTTTTTAAAAAAATATTTTTTTTTAACTTTGAAAAACAGGCAAATGTGGTCTCTAACAATACAGAACGACTTATTAGCATAATATTATCCAGTCAGATTTTCTGGCTAAAACAAAGTACTCCTTCGCGAAAGTTATAGTAGGTTTAACTTCTTAATTCGAATAAGTTAATCAATTTTGAATCGAAATTAGGCTTTGAAATGGAAATAAATAATGTCTTGAGTTCTTATATTTGAATATTTGAAATGTTGAGTTAAAATTAATGAGAATTAGAAATAATAATATAGGATATAAAAATAAAAGGTTGTAGGTGACAAAAAAAATTAAAACTAGTGGGGTGTATGGCATCGTGCCTTAAGGCAAATTGCTGGAACTTCCCGTACTGTAACGAAATGATCGAGAAATATTAAATGTTTTAAAATAGATTATTATAAATATTGTATCATTGTCTTCTTATATTTATAAGAATTATATAAACTAAATTGGGAAGTTGAAATTATTTGTTTAAAGTATATTAGAACAGAAATAAAATAAAAATCTGAATTATTTTTAATACACAAAAAAAAAATTTTGGAAAAAAAAAATTTAAAAAAAATATTTTGAAGCAAAAATTTTTTTTCCAAAATCAATTATTTTGTTAGAACAAGCAGAAAGTTTTTGGAATCATTCAAATCGGACGCTTAGTTCTCTTAAAAACTGCCATTTTTTGCACATTTAGCTCTGTATCTTCGAAACCGCTGAACCTGCCTTTGCCAAAACGAACCACCCCTTCTCCCCGTCATTACGAATTGAATGCTTTTGGGATCATTCAAATCGGACGCTCTATTTTCTGCACTCTTTGCTCCGTATCTCTTAATCGGCTGGACCTGCCTTTGCCAAAAACTAATCAGCGCATCTTTCTATCAATAGGAATCGAATGTTTTTTGAACCATTCAAATAGGTTGATCCGTGCGCTCGAAAACGTGGACGGAAAATTGTATCCATACATACATACACACTCACACACACACACACACATCCTTTTTTTCTGAGGTATGCCAAAATGTTCAGAAACCTTCAAAACGTCGAGAAATGTAAAAATTTTCAATTTAGATTTTCGGCTCATTACAATAACTTACCCTACGGGAAGTTAAAAAAAAAATGGAACCGTCGACGGTTCCCAAAATTTGAGAACCGGTTCTAGAACCGGTTCCAGAACCGGAACCGCACTGGACCCGGATCCGGTTCACAGCTCTAATAGATACTGGTTGACGTTATCAAAGAGAGTTATATGAATAAAAATATGTAGAACTAAAAAATATCAGTTTCGTATTTGGTATGTTAATTGTTCTACGTTTATTAGTCATATTTGATGGTAACTCATATCTGATCATAAATGAAGCAACATAGAATGTATAAATAAATTCCATTAGATATATTCACATTTTATGATCAAGGATTTAATAGATTTTCTTAAAATATTTCAAGATCGCAAATGATTCATTATCATATTTCATAGGTTGCTCTTGATTTATACGCATATCTGGCAGGCGAAAACTTGAATGCTAACAGTGATTCAACAACTGAAAGTAACGATTCTACTACTGAAGGTAATGGTTCTGGCACAGAATACACAACATCAGACGAAGTCGAAATTACTACAACAACGACAGAACCAACAACTACCACCACCGAGCCCACGACTACTACCACTGAACCAACAACAACTGCATTGCCAGCAGGTAATACAAAAAAAAATCTTAAAAATATAAAAAAATATTGTGAGAAAATATCATTTTCCGAATGTTCAATCATTTGAAAACAAAAACATATCATTGTATAAATTTCAAAATAGTATCAAAAGAAAATAGAAAAAGAAAAAAATCATATACTACGATATGAACAATTTGAACTTGATCTAAGTATTATTAAAATTGTTTCTATACACATAAGCATGATTGATACAGGTTATAAACAAATATATTTTTTTAAACTAATGATATGAATTTAAAAAATTATTCATACGAAAAATGTTTGACCCAATGTCAATATTTTGGAGATTGATGGATTTTGTATTATGATTGATATAAATATTAATGTCATTTCGAGTGCTTCTTGTATCCATTTTTTGAAACTACAGACAGCCTTGCTCTGGCTCTGAGCCACCTCTGCCCAGCCAGAACATATTTTCTCTGGTTGCGCTTAGAAATATCTAAGCGAGATTTACTATGCCCAACATAAATGTTTTTTTATTTAATAGTTACAACCTGTTTACTCAAATGGAGAGTTTATATTTTCCGTTACTGGTTTGTAAGACCACTGACACTATTTATTTTCAGTGATGGTCGTTACAGTTACTGCTATTAATAAAATTTCATTTATTGAGTGAATCAGAAACATCTTTATTACAATATATGGTCAATTTGAGTTATTTAAAATTGAAATCCTTGAATTATTTTTGAAGATTGTTATACGTATAACAATCTTTAAAAATCTCAACTAGTACTAGTCTACTCTAGTAGATTTTTATTGAAATTTTTATTTTTATAAAAAAAATAGTAAATGATGCATTCATGTTTCAAGTATGTATATGGTCATGTGTTTATGGCAGGCTTAATCGAATAAGTATTTATTTAACAATAGCTATCAAAAGTAAATGCGTTGAAAGAATACTAAATATTTTAGGAAAAGCTAATAATATTTTGATAACATGATAATTTTTTATTACTAATACAGGAACAATTAGAATAAATAACACCAGTTAAAAAATAGTAATTGTATGTTTTTTTCTAAATAAAAATTCTCTTGAAACAAATTTTAGGACGAAACAGGTTCCGTTTGCGAACAGGTGCGCGACCAGGTGGTAAAGTAACAACAACTACTACGACAACAGCAGCACCAGTGGAAGCCCCAAAAACAAAAAGCCGTTTCTCGCCAGCAGGACAACGTCCAGCCTTTGGACGCGGCAGAACAACAGCGAAACCACATGCAGCATCCGTCGATGAACCACAGGCCACAGCCGAAGAAGCTAAATCAGTCTCGCATTCCAAACCTTCAATAGGTATTGAATGAACAAAAAAAATGTTTAAATGATCACGATATATGCAATCCCTTTGAATTAATAGGTCGCAACAGATTTAACTTGCGAGGAAGAACAACAGCAGCTCCTAATGCAGAAAATGAATCAGACAAGGAGGCAACTCCCAGTGCTGTTTCATCTGGACCTAAACTTACAAGGTACAGTACATACAAAAAGTACGGCGTCTTGCCATATAAAAGGGTGGAGTCCCTACAATATAAGAATAAAACTAATGGTGCATGAAATCATGCCTTAAGGCAAGTTGCTGGAACTTCCCGTATCAGAATGAAATATTCGAGGAAAAAAATCAGTAATTTACGAATATTGATCAATGATTAATAACAATCGTTTTAAACATTTTTAAATAGGTAATTATAATCACTATATATTTCATCGTTCACAAAATATACGGTGACGATCTTATCGCTCAAAATACTTGAGAAAGTTTACATTAGGAAGAGGTGCCAAAAAAATTCATCTGAGGAAATATTTCTTACGATTAGAATAACGTATATGAAATATACGTTTTCAAACTGAATTGTAAATTTAAAATTCATATTTGAAGTATAACACTTTGTATATTTTTGAAAATTTTGGAAAAAAAATTCTGAATATTTTGAAATTTGCTTGAACCGTAAACGGTAAAAATTAACAATCTTGGTACGGAACCCAACAAAATTATAACAAAATTAGTACTCATTTTTTTAATTTTCATCAAATATCAGATAATTTAATGTTCATATGTCTAATGGTCATTTTTGACCGCCAAATATCAACTTTTTTTTACTTTTTCCTCTATATCTCCGAAACCGCTAGACCTGCCTTAACTAAATATGTATTGATATTATCTCAATATCTCGTAAATATTTTTTTTTAATGTTTAGGCCTAGACCAGCGTTTAGCATTAGAACCAGAGGAAGGCAAACACCAACGAGTACAACAACCGATGAAGAAACGCAAACAGATGAAAAGAAAGAAGGAAACCAAGAAGATGTGCCAGTAACACCAAAAACAGTCAGGTACCACATACATATAAGTACTAATAGGTAAGATGATTTTATTAACGTAAATGTGTTAATTGTTCTAATTTAGATCACGTTTGAATGGGCGACCTACCCGACCAAAACCACTTATCGGTGGAAAGAGCCGATCTACCGCCACTCCTGATTTGAATAAAGAAGAAACAATTGCTGATAGTGAACATGCAGCTTCTGAAGGCGAAGTAAGTTCTTAAATCTACAATGTTCACTCGTCTGTGCCGTCAAAAAAATTATAGTTAATCGTAACGTAATTGAGTTGATTCTTGACACTTAACATATTACTAAAGATATTAAGTAATTGCTTTAATTACTATTTAACATATAAGTAGGTTAATAGTTCACAATATATTTATTTTTTTACATATACAGCCTGTGCCAGAAACCACAACTGCTTCAGGCCTCAGCAAACTGCGCCAACGACCACGTTTGCAGGTGACTGCCCAAAAACCAAAACCACCAGCAACAAATCCATTAATCAATAATAGACGCTCAAATCCGCTGATTGCTCGGCGAAAATCACCCATCAAAGCAGCAGTAAATGAAGAAATTGCTGAAACCACAGAAACTTCAGCGGAAAACTCAGAGAAGCAGACCGAAACTGAAGTCGAAGCGAGCCCTGAAGAAACCACTGACGAAAAAAGTGAAAAACCCGAAGTGAGTAGCGAAACACCGAGAGGGTTAAATGGACTTTTAGCAGGAAGAAGGAGATTAGCAGGCCGAAAGCCCGGTACTATATAATAAACCTAGTTTCTGAAAAAATGCTAAATATATGAAAGTGTGCTAGTTCGAAGATTTATTTCCGGTGGATTTAAGTCGTGAGAGATTTGTTTGAGTTTTTTACTTTTATTTAATAATTTTATTTTAGTGTACTGAATGCAAAACTTTACATAAACCTAGACAACAAAATTGTGCCGATAAATTGTTATTCTAAGGTGAAAAAAATATTTCATGTTTTTTGGGGAACAAAAATTCCTGATACCCAGGCAATTATGCCAATATTTATGATTGTAGTTGTACTAAACAATTAATAAAAGTCGCAAACACATAATGCGAATAATATAGTAGAGTTATTATTATAGTATCAATATATCATGTTTTTTTTCTCATTGGAAATTAGTAAAAACTTTCAGATGCAATGAAATCATATTCCTCCACCACAGCTCATATGATTATTCAGTAAATATTGTCAATATTGTGTGAGAAATAATTACCAACGTTTATTAAGTACCCTGTTTTCAAAACAGTAATGACCAATAGAGAACTTTTTTTCTTATCTCTTTTATTTACAACCGTCCAGTAAAGGACATTAAATAAATTTGATGAATTTACAATAGTCGGCCGAAAAGGGACTTTGTATACTACAAGGACATGTTACATAAACTTCCCGATTTGTGTAAATAATCGATTTAATCCATGATAGATGATAGAAAAGCTTTTCGCAAAAATAAAGAGAGACTGCCTAATCTAATACTTAGCTTCTATTCCCATTTCTTACTGTGATAAAATAATGAACTATCCTAGTCAACCCAAAAAAATTTATTCATCCAAGTTAAACTCAAGCAATGTATGCAAACTGTAAATATACTCAAATTCTTCTAACCTTTAAAAGAATTTTAATTATTATAGATGGAGTTTCCTTTTGTCTCATGCCATTCTTAAGCTTTTAAATACAACCTTGGACTTGTTACGATATTAATTGTTTATGTAGTTCAGAAACATATATTCTTTGAATTAATTCTTGAAAAAAATTATCATCAAACCGTTATTATTGTCTGCACTACATATGATTAGTTCAGACACACTTCAACGCTATATCTTTCTCTGGCCGGTAATCTCTAAACAAATGACTGAAATGGATTTTAATATGAGAAATTTCTAAATAAATTTCAATTTTCGTATATACTGCAATAAGCACTTGATTTACTACTATTGCATTATAAAGTTTGTTGTAGAACAGTTTTCTAAAACATGCCTCAGATATTCATCAAATGTTTATATTATTTGACTTCATATCTGCCCATAGTGTAGCTATCACTGCTATCACTGCTGGCAAAAAAATATTTAACCATTTAATAAAAATGTTGTCTTCTTCAAGAAAATCCTTTACAGATAGTACATAATACTCCAATGGTTTTTCCAGTAGTTTCAAAATGCAAATATCGCCTTGCATTGATGCAATCCAAGATAAACTGCATATTCAAAATAACGATTTGACAAACTACTGTAAATTGCCTATTCCTCACAGTAAATGTACCTATAATATTTCAGTTTATATTAATTTTAAAATTAATTGATAACAGCAATGTTTTTATCTATTTTTGAAAAACAGCCATCATTCGAGTATTGCTCTTTGTTAAAAACATATTTGCCAATTTCATGATTGCTGTATCAAATGATCCTCACCATCCTCACTATTGCTGTCTAGGAAAAAATCCAGCAACTTTTGTATCATTCTTTCCGCACAATTGAAATTGTAATTCCAAGAAGTTTATAGAAATACTTCTTTATATTGAAATGTAGAACAAATCAAATTTAATTGAAATATTTTTATTTCACTCCATTCTTTACAATCCTAGTTATATAATAAATTATAATCTTGTATATAAAAATAATTTTCTTTTATATCTAAATCTTACAAATGTCTTCCACTTTCACTGGGATGTTCAACTTAAAGAAAAATGCCTAAATAATAATTTATAAATATGCTTGTACTAGCATAAACATTATTATTTGACTAACGATTATATACGTCTTTATCATATATTTCTGACATCTTGTTTGGCTGCTTGAATCTGTGCTTTCTTACTTCGCTGTATTTGAGAATCATAATCTTGTGCTTTGTTATAAAGCAAAACTCCAAAAATAACAATAAGTGTACCTAAACCACTAAGTAATGTGACTGAATTACCAAACAGCACAACAGACATCCATATCAGGAATGCTCTCTTGACAGTATTTGCAACACTGAAAATGATATACATAGTTTGTTTATCTTGAATACTTAAAGAGAAAAGGTGAGTGGTGAATTAGAGCCATGCATATGAATTGTACCATATTTGTTCTAATTATAACCATAAATAAAGATGAACATTTGCAGTAATTTAAAACTATATTTAAAGAATACACCAATAGATTTTTTTTTATACTCGTTCTCTTCTGAGTTAATAAAACAAAACTCGCATTTCAGCATTTCAACAACTTGTAGAACTTTTCAGTTGTTTAAAACGTACAAAAGCAATTTAATCTATTGCTTTCAAAAAAAAAAGTTATTCATGATGGAATTCAAGAATGATAATGTGATTGCTTTATATTTGGCTGAAAAACCACAAGTGGCTATCGTTAGAGCCACCCTCCAGCACTAAATGTGATTAAATCTTTTGTTTCTTGTTTTCACTGCTCATTACCGTGATACTCCAAATTCACGCCCAAAAAGTGGATGAAAGAAACGGTAATAACACCCGAAAAGATCCGAAAGGCCATAATTCGGACGTCACGCGCATGCTATCTTTGTAACTCACTCTTACAGTGAGCGTTGCACGATCAACATATCATCTTCAAAATCTTATATGTAAAGATATTTTCTTTCAAAATATTCTATCTTATATTGGCGTTTGCATTTTTTTTTTGTTTTTTACATGTGTGTGAAATTAAACATAATTTTCTAAATTTTCGATAATAACACAAACTTTAAAATAGCTGAAAAAAAGTTTCATCGAGTTCCCCTTAGATTTTTTTTTGTATTAGAAATATCTGTTCCTATAAGTATTGTAAAATTCAACTGTACAAAGTTGCACACTTTGCTTCGGCGCAATCTTGATATTCTATGAAATTTTTTTTAGTTAGAAGTAATGATTTTTAGAAAGTAACGTATTTTTACCGATAATAGTACTCCCTAATTTATCATATACATATTTTATTTTCAGTATAATCAATATCAAATTCGCAATCGGCAATCTCGAAAAAACTCGTACACTTTAAGGAGCGTATAAGTTGTAATTTCTCAGAAATGTTCCGACATTTTGAATCCGCCATGTTGCTTTTAGCAAATTGAATATCAAAATTGTGATCAACAACCTCGAAAACCCCCATATAAATTTTTGAAAGCGTATAAGTGAATGAGCCGAAACCAAGACTTACTTTTTACCACGTCGAAATTGGTCAAAACTTAAAGTCATGGTAACGCAATATAGCAAAAAGAAAGGAGCCAAAGGCGATCACTTCAAGGGCGATTATATGGTACTTTGATGATTGAATTAATCATTAGCATATGTGCATAACTTCAAAAGAGGTCTATTTTGACACTAAAGCAGAATGAAAATAATAATTAAACAATTACTATTATTAAACATTTCCCAATACTTTATGGACAGAATGTAAATATATATATAAGCCAACGCCTACCCTTAAGTAATAGTATTTGAAAAAAATAACCAAGCACCCCCCAACACTAGGAACAAAATGGCATGAGAGCGATGAAGACCCTAGCACCTGTCCTGCATACACATATTTATGTAGTGTATTTATACATAAATATGTGTATATGAGCCGCTGAGTGCAAACATCGATTAACTCCATAAAACAAAAAGTTGAGAAACGCGATGATGTAATGTACATTGTTTTTTAAAATTTCCCTGATAATATGAATTTAAATATAAATGTAGAAGCGTCGATGCACGGCCAGAACAGATACAGCGTTACTGAAACGATTTACATTATACAGAGTATGGAGTTAATCGAAATGGCTTCTGAAATAAATTTCTTATTATTCAATGGCCAAAAAAAATTTGCCATTTAACGGTGCTAATCTTTATTATTCCGGAAAGTTATTATAAATACTAAAAGTTATGATTATACCAAGTTCTTTCCCACTAATATCTCAGTTTTTTCAAAAAGTGGAGTTAGTCGATGTGTGCACTGAGCGGCTCATATATTATTCATTAGTATAATATATCTGTACAAACCTATGAGTGACTGGACTAATATAGTCCATTAGTACGTAGGCAGTAATACTTTGGAAGTGAAAGAATGCTCCATTTACTAAGTACATCATAAGCAATCCACCACTCGCCATGTTTTTCACAGCATCAAAATCTACTAATATAAAAGTAGCTGGAATTTGTACTACAACAGAAGCTAAGCTTGTATAAAACTGCAGCTCGGCTGGCCTGTTGAATAAAAAATTTTATAGTAAACAATATTTTGATAGTAATATTGAAATTTAACTACAATTTAACTATTTGATTTTATACTACCAATGTTAGTTATCTTAATTATATTGAATTCATTAAAATTGTATCAATAACAAAATGCTACTTTCTGAAGAAGCAACTATTTATTTTTAAATAAATGGTTTCTAAATTGAATAATTAAAAGCACCGTTTAAAATTAATGCTCTTTTCCTTGAAATTTAAATGTATAAATGAATAAACTAATAAAATTGACAAAATAGCATAAAGTTATCCAGATAAACCAATAAAGCGCTACAAAATTTAATCTTTCCACTGGCTACTATAACTTCATCTAATAAATCAAATTTCTACAATAAGAATCTACCAATAGCAAATACAAATATGTTATGTGGTGCTTACGTGTATTTATATTTCTCGCCAGAGATGAGCATTTTTGAATAAACATTTTGTAAGCACTCTGTTATATTTGTACTCATTGCAGCAATAAAACCTAAAGTATTAAAACTAAGTTCAGTTGCTGAACACAGTGCAAGGCCACCCATAACTGGTATCAATGATAGGCGGACATATAGACCAATTTGCTCTCCTGGAATGAGATTATGTAGATTATTAAACCTGTACAAACACATACAAACTAATTATATATATATATATATATATATATATATATATATATAAAGTTATATGCTAAAGAGCATCAAACATACAATCAATATTTGCATTTAAGATATCAAAATGATCTTCATAGTGCTATCAATTTTGAAGTGGGATAAAATTAACACTGACCATTGCACAAGACTTTTTTCAAAACCAACAAGATTTTGAGGCAAAAATTATGAACTTTACGTTCAAAACTACAAAAAAAAATTTAATTCCTGAAGTAAAAGTTTATGTTTTGCCAGAAAATCCAATCTGCCAATTTTATTTGATCTCGACATTTCAAATAACTTTGTATTGCTTCATACCACAATTGAAAAAACTGTGTAATGTGAGATACAATTACACTGATTTAAAACAACATGCACCATCTACGTACTAACAAGTAAGTAAGCTAATATAGATGCAAGTGTTTTTAAAAAATATCAATTGCAAATTGCAAAAATGACAAAAATGAAACAAAAACTTTATTTTCAAAATAAACAGTTGAAAATTTCATGTAAGAGCTATCTCTGAATTCTACTATATTAATTAAGTCCATTATCTATATGTATGGGAAAGTTCATAGAACTTGACTGAGCTTGCAAATAGTTTTATCATATTATTGCAAAATTATTAATATAGTATTGCAAAAAATTGGTTATTCTACTTTGTTATTTTTAACAAGTATGAATTTCTTGTATAGTTGAATCTTGCATGGATCAACCAATTCGAATGATTCAGAATACATTTGATTCCTATTGATAGGGAGATGGGCTAATTAGTTTTTGGCAAAAGCAGGTCCAGCCGTTTTGAAGATATGGAGCAAAGAGTGCAGAAAATCTAAATCGAGTTTTTGAAAGGACGGAATATCCGATTTGAATGATCCAAAAAGCATTCCATTCGTAATGACAGAGGAAAGTGGCGATTAGTTTTTGGCACAGGCAGATGCAGCCGTTTCGGAGATACCGAGCTGAAAGTGCAAAAAATGGCAGTTTTTGAGAGAATTAAGCATCCGATTTGAATGATTCTTACAACTTTCTGCTTGTGTTGATGAAATGATTGATTTTGGGAAAAAAGAATTATTTTATTTCTAAAAAAAATATTTTTTTGAATATCCAAAATCATTCGAATTTTAATTTTAATTCTAGCTAAAGTATGAAGCTCACTTATATACTCCAAATCAATAATTTTAAATTTGCAATTCAGTTTAAATAATTCTTCTATATATTACAGAAAAAAATTCAATATCACCCTATTAAATTTGTTTTCAGGAGAAATTTATCATTCTTACCAAGAACACATTGTGATATCAAAACTGTAAATATTGGTGCAGAACTTTTGATGGTTTCAGTAAAGCTAACTGCTACATAATTCAATGCCACCAATCCTAGAACAACAGTCAAAAATCTAAAAATATAATTTAAGTGCATTATAAGTAATAAGTAATAATTAATAAAAATTATCTTACATATATTTTTATATATATATATATATATATATATATATATATATATATGCATGTAACTGTATTGTGTGAAACATAAAAGTATTAACCTTGTGCATCCTACTAAACACATATGCTTTAAAAACCCAGGCGGTCTGTTTTTTCTTGTCCCAGTGGATTCAAACATTCCGCATGGAAAATACATTTGGACAAATCCACAGAAAGCTGTCATAAACATTTGGCTGGCACCTGTGAAATAAAAACAAATATGTTGAAATTATATTGTTTTTAATAATTACAATGAAATACATAACAAAAATGACACACCACATATATAATATTATATTTGCTTATATGATTGCTATTGAAGTTCTGTGCTATAAGTATGAAAATTTTGTGGAACTATTTATATATCATATATTAATTCGCTTATAGAGTACTTAAAGCCCTATTGCTTTTATTTGAAAAAAAAAATTCTAACATGGTTATGATATATATGCTTATAGGTGATATATTTAAAATGTCTGATAATAAAATAAAATATATACCCCACAGAATGTATAAAATGTAAGTAGGGTAAGTATGGACAAAATAACATGGTATTTGGTTCTTCTATGATATTTACTTATTTTTTAATATCTTAACTAGTCTCAATAATTTTTACCCATCTTTAGTTCATTGACTATAAGTAACATAGTATTTTATTAAGTAGAAACTATAATAACATAATTATTGAAAAAAATGTGACTAGTTGCAAAAATCAAATAGGGTATGGACGAAAAGATAAGTCGAGGGGAATAGTCAAAATGATATATATGGTAAAGACATATTGAGATGCTGATTTTTAAGAAAGTAATTCACAAATAAATTGGTTTGTCCTCGCATATAACCAATAAGCCCAAAGCAAACCAGTCATACATCGTAACCAAATTTTACCAGACTTAGAATGGAAAATGAGGTCTTTGCAATAAATACATGTTTCTTCTTTTTACCAGTTGATCCTTTGGTCTGTTAGAAAAAGTTAGAGTGAAAGTTAAAAATCAATTACTTTTTGCATTTATCAATTTTCTTTTTTCTTAGCTTTAAATGAACTATCCTGTAGTTCAAAATAGTACTATGTCATTTTGTCTATTATCTATCTATGTCATTTTGTCTATTGTCTATGTATGTCCATCAAACACCTGATAATTGCAATAAAATTGACTGAAATCTCTAGTACAGTCATAAGTTCATTTTAATATAAATTGTTGAACCCAGTATAATTGTTTGAATCGATTATACTGCAACAAGATTGTGACAATGACTCTCAACATTTGACAGAATTGTAATTATGGTTTTCTCAAGGTTAAACAGCTGGGAAACTTTACTAAAATTAGCTGATTTTTAAATAAGACCACTATGTTATTTTGTCCATATATACCATTCTTTCCATATTTCCCCTGTATTAAATAATAGTAGTTGTATAAACATATTCATAAAAATGAATATAATAAAATGTTGTAATGACCATATTACGACATGTAGAAAATAAATATATACTATTGTATAGATATTTTGTATGATCTCTCATACCAGACACTTCCGTCTCTCTGAGATGTATATAATTTATATTTTCATTCAAATAAAAAACAAGCATTCTGTAAATACTTCTTTGGGCAAGTATGTATAGAATACTGGAATAATTTTTTTGATTCTTTTTTTTTTGTTAGATAGATATTTTTAAAATAAAAATAAAAATAAAGGCTTTGAGAGCACAACACCATCTGGCTACTGACATTGGTTAAACAACAGTTTTATCTACCGTTAGAATTATAATGTAGAATAAGCCATCTTTCCAATCTTACAATTCTTTTTAAATTGGAATCTTTTGTTACTTCAAATAGGTAAGAATAGTCTTCAAAAATTTAATTAATTTTCTATGATGATACAAGAATAGTTAAAGAAAAAAAAGTTGACATAAAGTTTAATTTGGATTTATAAATAAATAGGTTTGTAATATATTGACTTTTTACCTAAACATGTTGGGTCTCCTCCTTTTGCACTTAATATATACTTGTTTAAAAAAAGTGTGCATCCGCTAAAAAAGTACCACAGCATCAGGAAAAACAAGGCTCTGACATTATAAAGCCCTTCATAGTTTTTTGTCACTATTGGAGTCAAGGGTCGCTTTTCTGATATTTCCATAATTTGTCAATTAAATACCTTTTTCATAATAATATAAATATAGTCTCAAACATGCCACCGGTTTCGATGAATTCAGTTACAAAATATGTGATTGTCTATGTACTGTCTATTGCTACGACTTGAAGGCATATTTGAGATTTTTAGAAAAGATAATTACTAATCATTATTATCTCAAGATTGATCTTAGCAATATGGATTGCCTTGTAAGCACGAGAAGGAAAATCATTACACCTTATTTGATATACACGTTGACTGACACACGTTTACTTTATCTTATGCCAAAAGCGACTGCTGTCATTGTCAAATTGAGCAACTTTCAGAATTTAAGGAAAATGCCGGTAGATGGCACAACTGCATTTTTCGTTGATCATAGAGCGTAGAAACTTAGATGAAAGGAGAGTAGACACTAAGAAGAGTAGAAATCACGAAGCAAATGCTCTAAATTTAGAGTCTAAATCGGCCATGTCCAACCTGCGGTCCGCGGGCCGCATGCGGCCCGATGGCGATGTTTATGCGGCCCCATGACAAACAACAATCGCACAAATTATTATTTTCAATTTAAATAAATAAATTCATTTTAAGTAATTAAATCTATGGTGGGGAGAGAAAAAAAAAATTTTTCAAACAGTTTTAAAATACAAAAAAAACATTTTTTTCAAAAAAGTCCACTTTTTTCAATAATTTCAAGATTCTCAAAAATTTAACTTTATCAAAGTTTTCAAAAATATTAAAGCTTTTACAAGTTTGGAATTACGGTACGAGAAGTTCCATCAAATTGCCTTAAGGCGCGATGCCATGCACCACTAGTTTTTCCAGATTTGTTGCGGCCCAGTGCATTGTATATTCCTAAATTTTCGCCCAAAGAGTAATTTAGGTTGGACATCGCTGGTCTAAATCTATGGTCTAAAACTAGTAGTGTGTGGCATCGTGTCAGGGCAAATTGCTGGAACTTCCAGTACCGTAATGAAGTATTCGAGGAATATTAAATGTTTTCATATAGATTATTATAAATACTATAACTTATATCTTACATATATCTTTACAGAAAAATAAATAAACAATTTTTTTTATGGTACATTATCTTTTTATTATTTTAATAATTTTTATAACTGTCCTGAAACGGACAACAAGTGAAATATTTTGACATAAAACTGAAGGCGTTGGCTAAATACAAATTACCTGACCATTGCCAGTGATTTGTCGAAAGTCTTATCTATTGTTGATTAATGCAGAAGAAATTTTCTTTTTAATCGGGCCCTGGTAGAGTTGTTCTGAAGTTTTCTGGTGAGCAAAGTTCGGGTGATCAGCTAGGCGATTTCTATATTTGTGTGAGTAAGCGATTATTGCATCCTTAACTGTGCTAGTGCCTGTGTTTTTGTGTATTAACCAATTTGGAACATACTTTGGTGCTAATAAACGAAATTTAATCAATCGAATTTAAAATTAAGGATTTAGTTTATTATTATTAAGTTATTTATTATTAGTTTATTTATTATTATTATTAAGTTTCTTGAATCATTCAAATGCTTAGTTCACTTAAAAACGACCATTTTGTGGTCATTTAGCTCTGAATGTCCGCAACGGCTTGACCTGCCTTTGCTAAAAACCAATCACTACTTCTCCCCGTCATTGCGAATTATATGTTTCGTTCATTCAAATTGTATGTTACGTTCTATCAAAAACTCACTTTCTATTTTCTGCACTCTTTGCTCCGTATCTCCAAAATAGCTGAACCTTCCTTTGCCAAAAACTAATCAGCATATCTCCCTTAATTGAAATCGAATGTTTTTTAAACCATTCAAATCGGTTAATCCGTGCGCCTCAAAATGTGGACGAAAAATTTTATCCATACATACGTTACACACATACATCCATTTTTTCTAAGGCATGCTAAAATGTTCAGAAACCTTTAAAACGTGAAATGCCCTACGGGAAGTTAAAAATATAAAATGGCTCTACTTTTATTTAAGAGTTTATGTTTTCACCAAAGAATGCAATTAGTTTAGTTTTTGACTAAAATTGGAAAAAATCGTTAAGGAAACACGTCAATTAACTGTTTGTAATCAGTTAATGAAAGTCATGATTTTAATAAAACTTTGCATAGCGAGACCTTTTTTGGATCGTGCACTTCTTGCGCTTTCCATGGAGCTTTTCCATTAACTCAATAACGATTTTTGTTTTAATTTATAACTGAAATGTTTAATTATCAATATTTGGCGACAATTTTGTAAGGTTTAATCTTTTTAATCCAGGTTAATGGTGTCCAGTAAACATCTTTTTCATGTTAGGAGATTGGCAATAACGCCAACCTACTCAATTTAGTGAACTCTTTTTTCTAGCAAGCGTTACAATGTCTCAATGTCTGATTATAACTTTTAGGTCAGCATTTAGAATCCAGGAATACTATAACAAGCTGGAAAATCGTAACAAATATTGTCAAGCATAAGTCTTTCCTTAGCCAGAATATAGGATCTTTATAAATTCAAACATGTTCAAACACAAAGACAATTGCCTACATTCTGCAACTCATACATCTTTACAAAAACATACAATATTTTTAACTTTCCGAAGAAGAAGTTTATGTTTGCGCCAAAAAATTCGAGTTGCTAATTTTATGTTTCCTCGACGTTACAAGCCATATTCTGAATTAAATGAGACTAAATTTGGAAAAAGAATGTGTGTTATATGTGAGCCGGTTTTTGAACTTTTGTCGACATTTTCTCAAAAGCGAGTAGACCAATTTCAAAAATTTCAAACCCATTCGATGTGACTTGATAAGGACTAGTTAGATAGGGTAGTAGATAAGGTCAGTTTGACGCGATCAGCCAAGCCGTTTCTTTGTAATTAACAGAAAAGTGTAAAAATTTTCGTCCTCGTTTTAGCTCACAATCTTGAATTGATTTTAAAAATTTAAAAACTGTTCGGCAGATATTGGATGGGAATTGCATTTGTTTTTGGCTCAGATCGACCGATTTTGATGAAACATTGTATAACGATAATTTCGTAATCTGAAGTAACACACTAAAATGGACATAAAAACTATACAAAATATTCATTAATGTGTAAGTTGCAGCATGTAGTTTTTATAAAACTGTGTAAGTTGCACTCAATTTATGGTTGCAATATGTTTGAACTTGCTAAGACCCTGCTGTGAAGTTTACAGCCTCCAAAACAATCATATTTGATATTTCTTTTATATTTATTTATTAAAAAATAATTATATACATATTAAATATTTTGAGTGGTAACTATGCACTAAATATTTGCTAATTTTTCTAGAACTGAAGGCCATTAAAGTAAATTTTTAACTTTTTAATATATATAATTTATGACCTGACCTTTTTATTTCGACGCTATTTAATGATAGTATAGAAACTGCTACTTTTAGACAAATGAAACTTAGAACAACAATGTATGATATATAAATTTTCATGTAAACATTTTCAAGTTATCAATAGTGCTATTCTAAAAATCTTCATTTATTAATAATTTTTTCATTAAAAATTTAAAAATGATATTTGTTCTCCTCCTATATACCCTGCAACATAAATCAATCATTTTGTTTTATCCAGAAAACCTTGATAACTCTCACGAAAAATTGTATGTGTATACTTGAATAATATCACCATTGATAACTGCTATGACCCTATTTATTAAATTATGCTAGTCTTCCTACGATCTGGCCGCTCTTCTGTAATTAGCCCTACTAGGTTTTGCCTGTACGGCTATTTGTTGATTAGATTCGGATCCTGCGATATCTTCAGATTGAGCTGGTGCCTTTGGGCTAGCCCTTGATGAGAACCTAGATCTGGGTGAAGGTTTGGCAACTTTTGCTTCTACTTCCTTAGTTTCTTCAGCGGGGCTGCTCGGTTCAGCTTTGTCTTTTGCACCCGTGAAACGCCTTCGACCGTTGCTTGCTAGTAATAATAATAAACGATGGTATAAAAAATATATTTATACATAATATATATATATATATATATATATATATATATATTAGGGCGGGTCGATTTAAAAGTCGCTTAGGCACATATAATTTTCGGATACTAGGAATCAAAATAAGATACTTTGCTGAAGAAACCATACCTCTAAAATAAATTCTGATGTGCCGTGCATTGACCCAAAAATAGGGATTTAATTTTGAAAAAATCCGTTTTAATCCATTTAGAGTGCTCCAATTGCGTCCAAATATATAACAAACCCCAACTAACTTTGGAAGGCCCCTGGGTTCACCCCCTGGGACCTCCTGGGACTTAGAAGTCTCCCATACGAACATTGCAAAAAATCATCGTTTTTGGTACTTTACTTAGCAAAAATGTGTTTTTAAACAATTTTTTTTCAGATATTAATTCATACACACACAAAAAACTTTTTTCCAAAAAGATTTTTTAAAATTCTTCTTTGTTTCAATTTTTCCAATGCATTTTGTCTCGGCGCTTCTATGCCAGCTAAAGGCTATTACGGCGACGATATTAGAGAGCCATGGAAAATTTTCCAGACTTGAAACTAAAAAAGACTTCAAGCAATAGTTTATGAGTTTTACATAGTTTTATTTACATATCTTATGATTAAATAAATTTTATAATAAAAATAAATCGCAGATTTTTGTCCCCCCAAGGGGTGAACTATAGGCATAGGTAGATCGACCTTCCAAGTTACTGGGAGTCGGTCATACATTTGGACATTAT